GACGATGCTCTTAGTCATATGGTTTAGTTTTAGGTCCTGCGAGGAGCAGGGAGTTGGACTCGATGATCCTTTTGGGTGCCTTCCAATTCAAGATAGTCTATGATTCTATGATTTATATGCTGTGCATTTAACATAGATTTTTCATTTAGTTTTCTGGAAAAATATTATGACATATCAGAGAAATGCTAGCCATGATTCCTTCTGGCATTGGCTAATGAGACCTCTAGGTTTTGTAACGAGTACTATCAAACATTACGTGCCAGGGCTTTGGGCAGTTGCCCACAGGGGGACTAGAACATTCTTCCCCTGCTCACACATTTTTGAAGCAGCACTTCTCAATGTGCGAGGAGCTCAGGATTCAACTGAAGCACGAATAAACAGGGAGACGGGCAGAAGTGCTAACTGGTTGCGAATGAAATACAGTCTAAATTGCTCCAAAACAAAAGTTACTTTTTTAATCGCTCTGAAGCACACAGAATGGTCTCCAGAGGGGAAAAACAAGTGGTACTTTTGTTAGATGCCTGTCTCGTTTGAAATGCTGATCACTGGAAGTGGAGTCAAGAAGGAATTTTCTTTTGCATCAGACTGACAGGAATCTTAGGATTTTTCTTCTTGTTTTCTGTGTTAAATTCCATATGGTTTACTTTCTAGAATTTTCTGATATGACATTACATATTTCCTTACTGTTATAGCGTAATGGTGTCTATTTTTAATGTGAATCATGCCACCACCTCACTTATTCCATGACCCCACAAACAGCTGTATGGAAATGAGAAGGAAATACAGGGGTATAAATGAGTAGCTGGAATTAAGGTGATAGAAGTGCATCCTCAACCTCTCCATCTTTGTCTGGGCATGCAGTTTAGCCTCCTTGGGCCTAAAGTAGCTTTAGTTTAGTGTCTTTAAAAGTGTCTGGATTAAATATAATGGCCTGCAATATACACAGAATAGATTAAATGATCTAATTGTTCTTTCCAGATATAAACCTCATGAGACTCCATAGATGTGATAGTTAATCTGGACCTTACCTTCTCCCTTAGGATGTAAGTTTTTGTTGGGAAGGACAGTTTAAGGAGTTTCTTCCTCACTCTCTTTTGTCCATTACTGCTCTCTTTGCTACGACCATACAATTTTTTTGTTGGCCTATACTGATTTGATAGTTGTAGGGGGGCGGGAGGCATTAAAAGAGTAGGAGGATGTTCTCAGTCTGGGCAATGTGGAGGTGGGGCATGAGTAGTTGTCCTTGAGAAAGGACAGTGGTTCATATACTGCTCCTAGCCCAAGAAGCTGTAGCTGCTAGTTGCTCTGTGTTGCCAAGAAGTCTCCCAAAGAAAACTGATTGAAGATAGAGGCAAGATGTGTGATCCCAGTTAATCTTTTCCACGCTTACCCAGAGCACTAAGATGTACTGGTTGGAGGGGATGCAAGGTGAGTTGGGAAAGGCAGAGGGAAATCTTGGGGGAAGGGGGAATGAATTCCAATATTAGAACTGCTGCCCAGAGGGTAGATGTACAGGGGAGTGTTCAGGGCCATGTGCATCTGTGACCATGGGGCTGATTACAGAATTCCCTTTTATGCCTCAGAATTGTGCTTCAGAAGCTCAGATTTAATTTATGAAAGTTTCTAATTCTTGCATTTGAAGAGCAGCTTTCCTCAATATATCAATGAAGCATAAATGGATGCATTTCCATGTAGATTTAAAGTGTATGTCTAAGAAATGTGGATCTAAGAAATTGTATAATCAGCCTTTCTGGATGTTGTGAACTCACCATTCTGTTGCAAAGAAACACTAAATTTTTGCATCCTTTCTATCCCTTGCCTTACGGATCTGACCGCAAGAGGGAATGAACTGGATTTAGTGCGTGTTCTCTGAAGGGTTTGTGGGATGATGAAGAATGGCTGCCTTGAAGAACAGGATTCCTGTTTGAAAACACAGTTATTGTGGGGGAGGAGAAAAATAGCTTGACAAAGGAGATCAGTTTGAAAACGAGCAGTAAGTCACACCTGGTGGCTTGGGAAAGTAAGTCACTCAGGCTATCTGCAAGATCTGCCCATTGTATAACAGGGAGAAGGTATTTAAGCTGGTTTTCTTGGGTAGCATCACGGGCCAGAGGAAAGTTGAGAGCATAATGAAAATTAACACTCAGAAATAAAAGTTGAATAGAGGATTGATTGTAAGATGCAGGCAGGTGCAATACCTGAATTGCATCTAATTGATCAATATAAATATAGCACAGAAACCAGTCTTAAGATGGCACGTGTCATACAAAGGCACATCCAACACTGGTGAAGATTGCAAAGTTTGTCTGAAGTCGATGGTTTCAAATTACTCTGAGTTTCTGCCCTGATAATTATGCCTTGTAACCCCTGGGGTGAGGATGGAGTAGGGAAAATGATTAAGCTTCTCTCTTTAGTTTTCACATTAATAATTTGTGATGAATTTTGAAGGTGTGAATCCAAAGTAGATCTTAGTTTCTCTCTCCTTAATTTTCAATAAACATTATTCTGAAGACCTCAGAGCTATTGTTTTGAGGTTAGACAGAGGAGAGACAGTCACTGTGTGTACTTGTAGTGTGCATATGGTGGTGTTTATGTGCATTTACTGTTAAGATTCAGCTGGATGGCCTATATAGCATATAAACAGCTATTCTGGTAATCAATAAAAATCAATTAATTGTATTAATATATAGAAGCTAAGAGGTGTGAAATAATTGTGAATTACCCCAGTTTCAGTAGAAGGAAGGCTTGCACTATTTTCTTCCTTCTTTAGTTATTGTTCTCTTTTTCTTGCGGGTTTCCCCAGCATGCAGTTTGCTGATGGTGAACATTTAGCATAGATGAATTAGTATTTTTGCCTATATCCAAATGAGTATTGAATAAAAATTCAGATTGTTCCATTTAAGTCTTGGGAAGAGACAAAATAGACTTTCCTCAGTTACCTTGGGAAACACAAAGGTGAATATGTTATCTCAGAAGAATAAATCTTGCATGGTATAGGAAAGCTGTAAGAAATGGAAAAACATGTAAAAATATGTCTGCCACCTTGAAATGAACTTTTGTTGCTGACTGTGCAAATCGCCTCTAGGTAGTAACCAGTCACCCTCCTTGCCTCTTGTCCAACTTCTCATCTCATAATGCTACTAGTATTATTTGTAAATGGATTGTTGTAGCTTTAAAATACATTAATATTATCACAGTTAAATATAGTTTGTCTATGCCTACAAGGTAGTAATCTGCTTAGGGTTCTGGTTCTCTTCATATTGTGTCTTTAACAATGCTAAGCTGGTGGCTGGCACTTAGTAAGTAATATGACATCAGATGACAACTTCCTCAGTGTAGATGATGTCTGAATAACAAACACTGCAAGGTCTAAACCAGCTTGTTTTGTCAGTCTGACCCTGAGTTCTCACTTGAAAATATTTGACAGTGCTGCTCATTTTTTTTAAATATACCTATTGGAAATATTTTTGTAACTGAAATCCTTTCTAGCTTTCCATTGAACTACCTTTCGTCATGTGTAGCAACCTCATTAGCACTAGCCAAAAACCTGGATTGTGCTGGGCCTGATTCTCATTTACATTAAGATCCTTATGTGTCTTTCTGGCTAGATAAAGAACTTTTATACAGCATGTAAATTACATATATGTTAACTTAAAACCTAGTATGAATATATATATAGTGATTTGCACAAGCTTTAAGCATGTCACACACCGACAGAACTCAATGTAAATGAGTTTTTGATATAAACAAGAAACAATCTCCTTCTCTCCTATTCCTAATATATCCATTAATTTGGAAATAATTTGTGGTTTTGCCTGAAGAAATGCATACATGTTCTTTTCATTTCCCTCAAAAACAGTTTAACTGCAAAAGATGCAGATGGGTGTCTTTCCTTTTTCTTGCCATCCTCCTTATTCCACTGTATTTGAGACATATAAATGATTTTCTGAGATAAAACTAAATTGTGTGGGCAGAAGAAAAAGGATTTGAATAAAGCTTTACTTTCCTGTGGAGCAGTGAGAGACTGACCTCGTGTGGTGTGAAACCAAAGTTGCAAAGGGAAAATACAACAGGCATAAAACTCTGAGTATCTTTGAAAAATTAATTTTTCTCATGCATTTCTGATTTTTGTTGGATGCTGCACCACTTATATTTAAATAATATTAGTTTGGATAGTTTGTAATGTGACTACTCATAAGAAGTTGACCAGTGTCTGTATTCCCAAAGACTTTTTTGTGTCCTGAAAGGGATGTTCTAACAAGCTGACCCCAAGACAGCAGGCTAGGAGCTGAGGCCTAATTATCTTGGCTGCTGCCTGTGCATGATTTTAATTGAAGTGAGTAGGAGTTTCATGTGAGCAAGTGGCAGGATAATCAGTCTTGGTTTCTAAGCCCTTTCTGGCACTTCCCCATCAGCATGCTTACTCTGTGCCTTCACAGCCTTGCTCTGTAAAATGAAGACAGGGGTTAGGAAAATTATGAAGTGGTACCATGCAGAATGGGAAGGGTGTTCCTGTATATTTTTTACAAGCACGAATAATATTAATTCTGGAGACTTCTGAGTCATTTCTGTTGGCCTGATTCATCAGTATATATGAAAACATCCAGGTATATGGATAACAAAAGGAGGTTCTGTTACTTTGAAAAGTCTCCTTTTTAAATAAATAACATGCATTTCGTTTTACAGGTTTTAGGGGTAATGTGGCTTATGGACTCTCACAGGAAAATCTGCTTAAAATCCTGTGGGCAATTTAGGTGGACTTTAGAAACTCTGTCCCCATCCTGCAAAGACTTCTCTATATGCTTAATTTTACTCTTTCTGTTCATAGAATCATAGAACCATTAAGGTTGGAAAAGACCTCTAAGATCATCGAGTCCAACCATCAACCCAACACCACCACGCTCACTAAACCATGTCCCTAAGCGCCTCATTTACATGTCTTTTTAAATACTTCCAGGGATGGTGACACTACCACTTCCCTGGGCAGCCTGTTCCGAGGCCTGACCACTCTTTAAGTAAAGAAATTTTTCCTAATGTCCAATCTAAACCTCCCTTGGCGCAACTTGAGGCCATTTCCTCTCGTCCTATCGCAAGTTACTTGGCAGAAGAGACCAACCCCCACCTCCCTACAACCTCCTTTCAGGTAGTTGTAGAGAGCAATAAGCCCTCCCCTGAGGCTCCTCTTCTCCAGGCTAAACAGCCCCAGTTCCCTCAGCCGCTCCTCATAAGACTTGTGCTGCAGGCCCTTCACCAGCTTCGTTGCCCTTCTCTGGACAGGCTCCAGCACCTCCATGTCCTTCTTGTAGTGAGGGGCCCAAAACTGAACACAGTATTCGAGGTGTGGCCTCACCAGGGCCGAGTACAGGGGCACGATCACCTCCCTCCTCCTGCGGGCCACGCTGTTTCTGATACAGGCCAGGATGCTGTTCTTTGTGATGACTTAAATGTCCGAAATAACAAAGGCCTATATTATTTTCTACAAGTACTCTGAGTTTTACATGACAAACCTTCCATTTTCTTCTTTACAGATCCTCTTGGAACCAGGGGTGATACAGGATGTCCTAGCAGCTGGGAGTCATTTGCAGCTGCTGGAGCTTCTCAGTCTATGTTCTCACTATCTCATTCAGGTGAGGCTTCTCTGCCTGATTATCAGCTATTTCTTTTTGGTAATCTTTTGTTTCAAGCCTAATTTCGCTAGGAGAGTTTTAGAAGAATACCTGGTGTAACCTAAATGACAATAAACTGGATTTCAGGAGACCTGAATTTTGAGTGTAATTAGGGTATCAGTTTGTGGTAGGTGCTTTCTCCTCCCATCCATTTTGTCCATTTCAGTCCTGAAAAAAAGGATGGTCTACTGATTAGTAGCAGCACATGGGAGTTTGATTCCCTCCTTTACCAGAAAATTTGCTTTCTTCTGCCTCAGTTTACCAAATGTTAGATATTTCCCTATTGCGATCCTGAGTATTGTGAAGCATTCAGATGCATAAGTATTCACAACAGAATGTGTATTGATGTGTATTCCAGGGCACTGCTACCTCTCACTGAAGGGGTAGGACTTATTACAATGGCACCTTATTCTCAACTGGCCTTGTGCCTGTAATGCTGATAATATTATCAACATTAGGGCTGTCATTATGAAGCAAAAAATACGAATCCAGTAAAATAATTTTTTGTGCTTGGTTTGTATAGGAGATGGCTCACGATGGTAGCAAGAACATAGCTTTGATGCATTTCTATGAAAAGCCTTGTTAAAAAAGATGGCAATAGCAATTCTACAGAACTGTTTCCTTTTCTTTGTAATTTTTCAGTATTGTTTCTGAAATAGGGTGCATTGGCTGTATCTGCGCAACAGTTGGGCATGGAAATGCATGTCAGCACAATCCTTTCCCTATGCACTTGCCTTCCAACAGCATAACTGCCTTTGAACAGTCTGAGTGTGCTTGGCAGCACACTGAGCTACTGAGTACCGTAGGCATGCAGTATCTCATGTTAAGAGCTTCAGGATGTACTTGAAGGCTCTGTGTCTTATGGAGAAAGAGTCTTGTTCTTTGAGTGTTAGCCTTAGGGAAGCCTTCAAAATGTATGCTCAGACAATAAGGTGGTATTAATTTGTATATTATAGATAGATTAGAAATTTAAAGGAGCTGGTAGAGTACTGCAATTTGTATCAGCTTGTTTTCAGGAATGTAAGGAGGATTTAATTTTTCTGATAAAATAGACATGGAATATAATGGGAAAGATGGTTGATTTGAGAAATAAGAAATGTGAGATGCCAAATAAGCCACAAAACCATTTGGCCTGCCAGTTATCAGGCAGGCATGGGAAGGGGTTACTGTAATGAGAAAGAAATTAAAAGTCTAACACTGATAGTCATACAGTGTATTTAATGCCCCCCTAACAAATCAGTCAGTGTGAGCATGTCCCTGCTGCTTACATGCTCTGCCGTGTCAGAAATTGAACCAAAGAGACAATTGCAGCAAAGAAGCTAGGGGAAATACTAAAGAGTAGGGAAGAAGCTGAGTATTGTAGTGCTGGTGAGGTAGGAACATGAGAGGACTGCAGGAAAGGAGCAGGTACATGCCCAACGTAAGTCCTTCTACTGACTTCTTCCATGACGTGTGTTGAGTAGCCTCTGGCATTTGTAGCTCTTCCCTCAGCACCACCTTAACATTTTTAATCCCGAGGTCACTGCAGTGGAAAGACAACTGTAGAATTAGCAGTGCTTTGGATCTCGTCCTTGATGTGCAAGCCATAGTCGAACATTTAGGAACAGACTGCTAATGAATTAAAAAAAACAAACCAAAACAAAAAATCAACCCCAAAACTACACCACCCCCCAAAAAAAAAAAACCCTGCAGTGAGGAAACATTGCTGCCAAATTACTCTGTATTTAACAGACCAGTAAAAATTCTCTGGATGTGATGGTCAATATGCAGTTACTCAAATGATGTGAAAGAGCTCTATTGTACTCTGAGCAGTGTGCCAAGATAGGGTAACTGGAGCTACACTGATGTAAAAATGAAGAGGAAATGGGACCCAATATCCAGATTTACAATGATGGAGGTAGGGAATAAAATAGGGGATGAAGGGTAGGGAATAAGGAGAAGATTATGTGTTGGGAGACAGAGAGCAGTGGTAGTTCTGTAAAGTGTTTTTGAATCAGGGTCTCATTGTAAGGTTTTGAATCTGCATGGTCATCTGTGGGATGACTGTAGCTTACATCATGTCGGGCTCTAGACTGTATTTTACTCTTTTTACAGTATTTTTTATAAGATTCACCCCAACAAGGCATATCTGTAGACAGATTTGCAGTCTGAATAGATCACAGTAAGAATTTATCTGTCTTGTTTGTTCTGCAGAGTTGCAGTCCATGCAAGTAATCAACCTTGAGTAGTTGTGTAAGCCTTTTTAGCAGAGGTCAACAAGGTGCTGTACATAAAGACTGATATCTTTCAGGGTCCAAACCAATTATATCAAATATCTGTTTATGTTCTACCTACTATTGGGTGATTTTAAAAACATCTATTGCTTTATTTTAATACTACCTAAAAATAAAATCAAAGAAGGCTTCCTTAAAGCCACCTATCCTTGCTGCAGTTGGTAACTGGGGTGTCTTGCCACCCCACATGCTATGATGCAGATGCTGGGAAGAGAATAATGCTTGCCCTTTCTCTTCTTTCTGATGAGTCTGAGTGCTGCAGAGTTCTTCATTTACTGTACCAGTGAATTTCTTTCTTGCTGTTTTGAGTTGTTCAGATATCATGAACTTAGCTTAGTTTAGCATAAACTCAGGAAATAGGGTATGTGGGATCTAGCTGTCATTTATTATTGTTGTGTAATGATGACACAGAGTTTTAACTTGTTAGGATTGTCTTTAATTGTTTGGATTGGACTAGGCTTTTCCCGTATAAGAGTGCTGTTCTTATTGTTAGAGCTTGTTCCAGCTCTTCTCTTTCTCGAGATGTTCCAGCATAACAGTTTTTTGGAGCTCAAGAGTGTTTCATCTCTTCTTGGTACTTTTATGTGGGGCCTGTAATTATTTCATGGATTTCAATATGGATTTTTTTTGCTACAAATGCAATTGGCATGGCCCATACACTTATCTGTTCCAAGGCATATTTGTAGTCTGTGAGGTTCCAAAGAATGTGCTGATCTTAATTCATTGAAGGTGATTGTTGAAGTATCTTAATTGTTGAAGATGATTTGCAGTGCACTGGGGGCAGATTCACCTCCAGCCAATGCTGACTTTTATATTCACTGAATTTCCTCTCAGTTGTCTCAGAATAAACAAGATGTTATTTTGACTATAAGACAGATCCTCTGTCCTATAGAACAACCAGCTTAGAGCACTTTAATTTGTTGATAAATCTCAAAAAGATTTCTGTAACAAATTGTTTGAATCACAATTATGTCATTTTTATGAAGAGTTTTTGATCAAAGGAAATACAGAAAAAAGGAGAGGAACGTTCTTTCCCCCCACCTCCAATTAGGTAATATCCATCTCTAAGACGTTTATGATAGCATGACACAATGGAGATTTCTGACAACACTGCTAGTTTACTAAATGCGTTTTATCTATAAACTTCACATTATCAAATGTTCTGTAGCATCTAATGTTGATTCCATTTTCTCATTGGAAAATTCATTCTCATTTTGGATTGATAATTTACTAATTTTTATTTTAAAAGAATCGTAGATCATATTTTCTCTACTTGCAAACAAGAGAAATGCCTAAGCGTTCCTTACTTTAGGTCTCAATTCCAGCTTTGTGTTGTGTAGTCTTCTCCCCTTGCTTCAGCAGTGTCATATCTTGCATTATGATTACTCCCCAGCCTTTGCTGTTTGGGAGTTTTGTTTTTAGCTTCATTTGTAGAGCGGGACTTTTTTGAAGCCTGCTGATGTATTTTATTTGAGATACGTACATATTCATTAATCTCTCTGATCATGTTGTCTGCATAATTCTTAGGTACTTTAAACATTGAAACAAGGCTTGAAATTTCACACATCCATCTCAACCTAAAAAAATGGTAGGGCAACGTGATTATTCTTAGCTGTATTGCTGCTACATTGGTGTGGGAAAGCTAAGCTGAAGACTTGGGCTTTGTGTATCTTGAATTGTGCTAAGGTCCACGATCATGCACACAGCGTTTGCTTGCAGAGTTCACATCCAGTTCTCTAAGACTCTTGTTTCCTGAGTTGTTCTTCCAGCTCAGATTGATTGTCAGTTTTGGCTGAGGTTTTTCAAAGGAGGCTAAGGCAGAGAGCTGCAACCAACAGGTAGACTTTGTTGAAATATAATGGGAACAGGTTATCTGAATGTCTTGTTTCCCTTTTAAAAGTTTTAGCCTTTAGAGTTCCAGTGGACCATAACTGTCCTACTATGACACTGGAGAAGGCAAGAGAAAGCTAGTTGAAGGCTTTGAATGTGATGGAGACCTGAGAATGGACTTCTTAAGTGGAGCTGTAGAGAACATGATGTTAGGTAGTTTGTTTGTGATGACCTATTTTGCACTTTAAAGCTTGTAAATCTTCTGAAGGGTACATGATGACTTTATTTTTATGCAAGAGAATAAATGTGTTAAAAGATTTATTCACAACATAGAAATGTTTGTTTCATGAATATGTCTGAGTTATATAACTGATTGTAAATGTAAGAAGTTTTGTCTTTTTCCTCAGCTGTTTGTATTCAGTATCAAAAAGAGGCACAAACGGCAAATTATTTCAACAATCAAAGAGTCTTAATAAGGAGGGAATGCTATTGAGAATACGAGTTTTTAATGGAATTTCCTTGTACTGATCAATATAAACTCAATATTGTGTGGGTATAGCTTTAGTAATCAGTTTTTAAACCAGAGGTTGATGTCCACTGGCATTCAGAGACCTGGGGCATAAGATTGTCCATATTTGAAATCTTCAAGCTAAGTGATTTTTCTGTATTTTCTAAAGCTCAGTATTATGTTTTCAGTGGAGTTCTATCTGCCTCCTGAGTTACATTCAAGGTAATAACTGATAGGTGTGAGTGAGGGGTTTAGAAGTTGCAGAACTGTCCAAAGCCTGCTCATTTCTGAGAGGCAGGGCATGGCATGATTGTTAGCATTTACCCCTTTAACTTTCTGCTGCCGGATCA